TGAGTGTCGCGCGGACACCCCCCAGTTTAGCTCAATGGGTTTCCGAGGTACACAAACCGCCACACCACGGTAAGGTCCAGTCTCTTCGTGACGGTTCCGGTCAGTAACTTCGCGCTCTATCCACTTGGGCCATCTCTTTCCCCCCTCCCCCAATTGAGCGCACTCCCTGTTTGACTGACCCTTATAAACAAGTAACTAATAGCGAGTAGGTCGTACACCTGCGAAGCTTTCTCTGCAGAGGTGCAATCGAACCTGGAGGAAGCTCACGAGCTGGAGTACTTCCAAGCGGCCTAAGCCTATACAATAAGAAAGTCAGGGCTGAGTTATGACTGCAGACCGTTCGGTCAGTACTTTCGCCCTAACAGCCGAGTCATCTTGGACTCTCAGAATGTCCGCCAGTGAGCCCAACAAAACGATAGCCATCATGATGATGATGATGATGGACGCATCCGCCGCACGACCGAAAACTCGCTTTCTAATTGCCTCGTTACGGAAACGCTGACATGGTCTATGATTTTGATTGCTGAAACCTGAAAACATTTCAGTTCTGCTGCTCCAACAGGCCAAATCTCAGCCATACGACAAAACAGCCCGCAATTTAGCTTGATCCACACGTTCCTTGAGATTCAGTTATGCACCACTTTGACGCCATAGGTGTCTCAAATTAGCAAGCGCGACCCGAGCCTTGCAGATTCATGCATTCACCTCATCTGCCACACTACAATCAGAACTAATACAACTTCCAAGATACATAAGCGTTCAACAACTTCCATTACCTGCCCTTGGATTGTAGGTGACGTGTTTAGTGACTGCATGTCCAGGAGCATAACCCTACGCTTTGGGGATGAAAAATGCATGCCAAAGGACGGGATGACTTTGGTCAGTTCATCCAAAAACACATGCACCCTGTCCTCCTCTTCGAAGATGAGAACGATGTCTGCACATTCCAGGTCGACAAGGCTTTCGTCACAAGCTATTTGAACACCGGAGTTTTGGAGACCTTCCAGCGCTCTTCTCGTGATTCCATAGTTTACTAATTCAAACAGGAATGAGAGAGTCGGCAACCCCGACGGACACCACTTTGTGTACAGAAACTTTTGAAGGGCCCGCCGCATACTCTCACACGTCCGGAAGTCTGGGAGTACAAAGAGCTTTTGTTCAAGAACTTCCGGGGCATTCCTTGGTGAGCAAGCGTGCCAAGCAGATCAGACCGGTCAACCGGGTCAAATACGCCTGAAAATCCAGGAGCACTAGAATTTTGGGTTGCTTATACGTGCGTTGTTCTAGCACTTGACGAAGTGTGAAGATTTGGTCAACGCAACCCCTACCAGGCCGGAATCCCGCTTGCTGCTCGGAGTCAGTGTTTCACGAGCCACCATAAGATGACGAAGCCCTAGTGATGCTAACCGTCTCGTTACTACCAGAGTCAAGCTAACCCCCCTGTGGTTACCACACTCATTACGACCCAGTTCTTGAAACTGGGCACTATCACCGACTCTCTTCAGTTGTCTGGGACAGACCCCTTTTCCCATATGCAAGCAAACAGATCAGAGGAGCGCTGACTGAGGACTTCACCCCCGTCTTTGAACAATACGGATGGGAGTTCATCTGAACCAGAGACTCGGTGGCGTTGAAAGAACATTAGCAGTCATAAGCCTCAGAGGCCGTTGGCGGTTCCGAATTCACCGTCCAGGTTTCTATGTCACCTGTGGACTCCAGATGGGTGACAGCTGGTGGCAATTACAATTGTTGTTTGAGGTATTTGGCCCAATGGTTGGGGCGTTCTTATTTATTCGAGATATTCACTCCATTCTGATCCTTGATGGTTTCACTCACAGGTGCTTTCCGGGGGCCGGTCGCACGGATCAACTGAAATAATATTCGGGCATTACCGGCTTTCTGGACCTCTTCTATTTCTTTGGCTTTCTGTGTCCACCATACTTCAAGGTCGGCTCGCGAAGACAAACACACAATCAACTGCAGCGACTGAAGCATTAATCGAAGCAATCAATATACACCTTCATTCAAGGAAAAAAATAAACATCGGTCAAAATAAGCAACTCGGACCCAAAGCTGACACCTGGACACCGGCGGTCGGGGTTGAATGCTGGAAAGAGAGGGGGCAATCTCGTCCCAGTATGAGTCCACATCTGACGGTGGAGCATTTGGAAGACTCTAGAAGATTATTCTAGTAAAATCGTCTAACATCCGGATCTCAGTTGCTAAGCGACTTATCCGCACCTTACGCGACCCAGGGAAATGTTGGGAGAAGCGACTCCGGACAAGCGCGTGGTCAGAGTCCACAAATGTGTTCCGAAACGACTGGCAGTCAGCTATTGATCCGCGCCATCGGTACGTGATGGCAATGCGGTTGATTTGCGTTTGTGGCTGGTCTGTCGTTGGAGGACACCATGTGGCCAGACGACTTCGGCTATTTCGGAAGTTAGTACTGCATAAAAACAGCCTGTGATCAGCACAAGCTGAAGCAATCCTTCAACACTGCCCGTACGTACCGAGTCCAATCCATGTCGACCTCCTAATTGGGTCTCAGGCACGTTAAGCCTGACCACTTGCGCATTCAAATCTCCGGCAACTACCACGATATCTGAGTCTTTAGCTTGCCGCAGCAGAGCATTCAAGGCGTCTTTGACGGCGTCCTAGCGTAGTTGTGGCGTAGGCAAACACGATAACCAGACATCTATCAAATTGCCGCCCGTGAGACTTCTTTGCAAACGTTGCCAGACGAACCGTACAAGGGTGACTATGAACAGGTATCCAGTCAGGGAAGGATACTTCCACCCGGTCGTTCATGACGATACCAACCCCTGCACATCCCGCCGCAGCAGCTTCTGGATCATCAGAGGTGCGCAGCCGGAAGCGAGTGAAGAATGATGGGCCAGTTAGCTCAATCACTGTGCTTGCATCTTGAATTCTTGTTTCTGAGACACAGCACACATCAGTGCCAAATGAATCCAGTGTGAGCAAGAGCAGCTTGTTGTCCTGCTTGTTTCGGAGTGCGGACATTGAAGGCGGCCAGATAGACTGGGTGTTGAGACTCGAAGATTGATTCGGAGATATCTGAGGATGTCGGCACCATGTGACGAGCAGATGCTGCATGCAAAACCGATGCTAGACGAACGGAGTCATCAGTCCTAAGTTCTGGATCTACAAGGAGAAAGTTATTAATGGGGTGGGGAGAGGGGGGTTGAAAAAGTATGTGAAAGAGAAAGAAGGGAAGCTTCAGCAGTAACCTGTCTTCGCCTACCCGCCCAGCTGTATGCAGCGAGTAAGGCGACCAGGATGGTGACACCACGCGACGGCTGATGTGACATGAGTTTATTGTTAGACGTGGGTACCACGGCTGTATGTGGGTTGAGATACTGTCATGGCACCCACACAGGAGGATGATTAGTGTTTTCAACCAAAGGCTTCGGCAGTGGTTTTTGGTGCGGAGTGCAAATGTATTACTATTTCTATGGAACAAGTTGCCACATGTTCCAGCCCCCAACCTGGAGGACTGGAGACTGTCCGTCAGACCTCTAACCATTGGCCAGCCTGGTACGAGAAACTCTATGAGTGTCGCGGGGACACCCCTTATTATGGCTCAATGGGTCGCTGAGGTGTGCAAACCGCCACACTACGGTAAGGTCAGTCTCTTTGTGACAGAAACGCTAGCCAGAGTGGCATCGACAGGAAGGTGCCAACTTAAGAGTGCAGTAGTTCATCGGGCGAAGAATGAGACGAGGTCAGTGCTGCAGTGGAGCACGGTAATGTGGTTGGATTGGCTGAAGAAACACATGCGGGTCAAATGTTTGAATGTCTGTGGATGTAGCACAACAGGTGCAGCATTTGACCATCAGTGCCTTAGGAGAACATCGGATTAGTGTACTGACTTGTGTCGACCAGTTTTCGGAAGTGACTTGTCCACAATGGGTGGACTGATTACACTATATAAGTTGCACTGGCTTGATCACGTGCTTCGTATGCCAGTCGACCGGATTCCTGGGAAAGGTTTTTTCGCATGGCCACGCGAAGGGTGGGAATGAGCCAGGAGAGGCCAGACGATTACTTGGTAACGAAGTATGAGAGCCATTACTGGTAAACTCAGCTGCGCTGGTTATCGCTGTCTTCCTGAAATGGAACCCCGAAACAGGACGCCCCGATGATTAGAGACATCGACAGACACGGCCTAGTCGTGTGATTGATGGCGCGTATTCATCCAATCTGTTGCCTTCAATTCGTAGCCTCCCCTCCCGAAATCTTGAATGAGAAGTCTACTGACACCCCTGTATTGACGCATCAGTTATGTCGGCTACTGCCTCCAATGAGTATCTACCCCAACCCCTTAATGACCAGTTGTAGCCATTGTATGGATTTTACAGCTGCTACTGTTAACGCTGATGGTGTTGTTGTTCCTGCTGCTGCTGATGATGATGATAACGGTTGACACAAGTTTGGAGCAACATAAGCAGTAATAGTAATGACTAAATGAGGAAACGGGGTTCTATACCAAAAGTATTGGAAAGAGGTTTGCGACTGTCAGTGAATGATGGCTGGCAATGGGGCGACTCGTCTTTCGATTACTGTCCGTTACTGTGTCATCGAAGCTTTTGCACATGAGCTGTTTTTTTCTTTCGTTCCAGGTTGAGACGCCAAAAGGCCGTGTTCTCTTCCAAGACCCAATCGCGTGACAGAATAGACAATCCATAATCGAACATGAGTGCCGAAACAATCTTAGAGCCTTTGTATAGGAAGCTGGCTACATTTTCCAACACCACGCCCGCCAAATACGGAGCTCATCCCCGCTCAAAACCAGGGGCTTCAATTCTGTTGTCAATAGATGAGGTAATCAGCATCGGTATTAACCTGTATTTGTAATTGTAGTTCATAAAATCTGTCATAGACCGCTGTGAGTTCATCCGTGGCAGGGTTCCACAGCTGGAACTGGAGTTGAGCACTGCTCTCGCAGACGTTCTGGATACTGCAAGTCTCTTCCGCGTTGCAGTGGAAGCATTCACTGCCATCCCAACTGACTCTACGAAGGATATTGAGGTCCAACGTTCCGCCGCGGCTATGCTTTCTTCACTGAGTAGACTTTTTATCCTATTGGGAATTGCTGATGCTGCTCTAATTAGCGACCTTGTCCAGGAAGTCAGAAATTGCGTTCAAAAAGTTGCATCAGCGACTTCACCAAAGGTAGGTTACATACGGTCCACCTCAGTTTAAAGTTTACAGCCCATCTAGTTGATATCATTCGCTCAACCTTCAGTCAATGCATTTCGTTTTTAAGACACAAACCATAGAGTATTCTCAACTATATGTGCATGGGGCCCTTGTAAGGTACTGTTATGATAGACCACTCATGGTCACAATACAGTTCATTCCTCTAGGATTATCGTGCTTCAATTCTCATTCGCTAGTGTTTTATTCCAGCTCTGGTGTACACCTTTTTCATATTACGTTTTTGAAACACCTGGGTAAGGTTCATCACGAAATTCGGCAGTGATTGTAACGTTCCTCTGCAGAAATCTCAAATTGCCTTGATGTTCGGCTTTCGTGCTGGAGTTTAAGTGCCCTTTAGGATACCTTGGCTTTGTATCGATTAGACTTTTATCGAGAGATTTATCGACTCATTGTGAGATGGAGCCAAAGCAGTTTCACCTGGACTACCTAAAACGCCATTCATGTATCATTTCCCAGCAACTTCCCCATCATACTCTACCATACATTTTTAAGCTCCTTATCACCTTAACCTTATCAAACCAGAGCCGATGCAACTGTGGCTGCGTGTGTGTATTCTTCAGTGGCGTAGTCTTAGTAAGATTTATTATTAGGTAGTCGAATGTATGCATTTCTCGCACAGAATATAAACTACCCTAGTGTCATGACCGATTCTAACATATGAAGACAGGTCAATGTGCAAGTCGGTGTAATCTGCCTCTATAACAATATCCTGCAGAAATGGTGTACGTGGTACCAGTACCCGTAATCTTATTCAGGTATACGGACATCCGACTGACGGGCATTAAATAGCAACGACAAGAGTGTCTGATTCCCATCCCGAAACTACAGTAAGCTCAGGGATACGCTGGAGTTATAGCAAAATGAGCAAATGTCTGATGTAAATAAAACAGCAACCGCATGGATGAACCGAGATTACTAGATTGCGGTAATTAGAAGCGAAGACTCCACCACTAGGTCGGATGGTTGTTTATTTGAGGGTGTCTTTCAAATGAGAGTTCGCATGCTTAACTAGAGAAAATTCTCAGGAATTGTAACACGATCGTAATAAAGGGTGGGATTTTATGGGTCGATGACGCGTCGTATTCATTGCGACGTCAATATTAAGTCGAAAGGGCACGCAAATTTCCTGCGACTAGTTCTAGCGTACAACCACAATGTGGTTGTCGGTGTCTCCTCAGCATCTCTTGCTCCCATTGGGAACACATCTTTGTCAAGAGGTTCCCACGATGTGTATTTGACGCAAAAAAACTCATAACCTCTTCGAGTAAAATGAGCGCACTTTTAGGGTCCGCGTGTCAATTTCACCGTCTTCCTCGACATACGTTAACCACCAGATTAGGAATCAACTAAGAGGTCATGTTGGAACCAGTGGATATCTCGGATCAACTAGGAAGGACACTGGTCCCATTCTTTACATCAGCTGACTCATCTCCTACCTTGATACCAGTCTTTTTTCCCACATATGCGATGACTTTGCTAAATCTTATTCTGTTTCATTTTAAGTGGCACATAACGTAGTACCATGTACTAGGCTTTGTGATATATAGCTGTCTATGATGTCCGTAATTTCCAGTGATTAGAGCGCGAATTTACTGACTTGAAGCTCCGCGGTTCGAACCTGACCTCTACCTCTCGACTTCTCTTATCAAGGCTTGGGCAACCTGGCAGTATCCCAAAAGAGTGTTGAGCTGGACAATTTATCTATTTATTTAATTTTCACCGTTGTACCTTAATTTAATGTGTGGATAGTTCTTGGAATAATGGTCTTAGTGAGTACCATAAATCTGTGGTATATTCTGCATTTAGGCTTCCACTGCATAGTATGCCATTGAAGAAAAAAATCATCCGAATACTCATCGGTATTTCGATTTCCCTTCTTCACCTCTGTAACATCTTAACTGAACGGACTAAATATATGCCAGCTCCGAAAACAACGTACATTTCTGCGTTGGTTATTCGTTCCGACGTGTTTCATCAGGCGAGTATTGTGTTTCTTCTGAATGTTTATCTCTGGCATATCCTCGTCTCCTCGCTTCTCCTTGCTGTGCACTATGAACACTCTCTTTGACATGAACAAACAATGCACTTACCGTCATTGCATTCTTTTTAGACCATCGCAACGGAATCCGATGCTTTCTCCATACGCACCAACCAACTGCTCAACCTTCTAAGCAAAAGATCGGCGGAAGCTGTGAATCCGGATTTTCAAGAACAGTACAACAAAGCCCGTTACATCTTGAAAACTAATGGCCGGTTGTTGTCAACATCAGCTCGGGTAACCTTTTGGACTTAACCCTGATGTGTTTAGCATGACTGTTGACTTTCGCTTATCCCACAGCCGCTTGGCTACACGAGCACGGCTTCAAGACCCACTGTATTAGTAGGAGTTTGGGTGAGCTAGTTTTATCCGGTGACAAGACAACATAAACCGTTAAGGACGCTCTCAATTTTATGTTTGAACACATCCTACACTTTTGCGAAATCGTGGGCTAAACACTACTACTTGTTCCAAAAAAAGAATCGGTGGCACATATTCGCAAACCAATTTGGTTTTAACGGCAGAATCAACTGAATCTCACCTCAATCTCGTCTATGTTATCCTTCAAGAAAGGATACTAAAGAATATCATAGAAGAGATGTTGAGCTGGGATTCAACTGAGTCAGCCTCTAAAACCAAATGAGTGTCTGTCAAATTTCTTACAGTTCGAGTTCAAGTAGAAACGGAAACTTTAGGACTGCACCTACTAGTTGGGCCCCAAGAAGAGCGAAACCGGTCGTGGACTGTCAGAGTTTCCAGCAACCTTGTGAGCAGTTTCCTTCAAGAAAAAAAGAGTTGTACACTTGTACGATGTGTCCTGGCTTTTCAGTTTGTTGGGCACTGTGAACTTCATATGGAAAGTGCACTTTTTCGATTACGTATGCAGATGTACCCATCCGGAGCGGCCAGGTGAAGGAAAGGTTGTCTTTTCAAAGGGATACAAGGAGACAGGTTTGCCAAAATAACCACCCTATTGACATATAGTCGATCAAATTTTATTTACCCCATGACTTCAACGTCCCTAAGCATTTTGTCAGCTTGCATGTTTTGTTTTGGCACTGATACAATGCTGCCACAATCTTTATCACCTATATCAGAGAGAACCACAAACTATGCGGGTTTTAAATTCTCGTGTCTCTACACACTGACTTTTGTTGTTTTCTTCACCCATTAATACTGGTCTGCGGGTCATTCATTTGGACCCACATTTGCCACAAAATGACACGATCAAAGATGTGCTGCATTTTGTTGCCATGTCACCTCGCACGCATTGGAAGACCAGTCCGCCGGTCTAGGATCGAAAGGTGATAGAGAAGTTCTAGTGATCATTTCAATAGTCATCTTGTAACGTCAACCGTTGAGAATTCCAGACCTACCGATTAGAGCAAAACCCCTTGGCCAGATATAAAATTGTGCGTACATAAAGGCACACCCTTAATGGGGGGTCAACTATGTGTTAGAAAATGGTTTTCTAAAGTACGCACCACACAGCCAAAATGTATGAGGAGTTACCACTCACTGTTCCTTTTTATTCACGTATACTATTGTATGTAAAGTCTTACTAACCACATCCATTCGTTTCATGTTTGGCAACTGACTTTCTCCGAACAAAGCTGCAATCCAGCTCCCCAGTTATATTTCACTTTTTTGCTTTCAGGTCTGTCTTGAACATCCGGATCATATTGGTGCTCAGAACGCTAAGGAATATGCAACCAAGTCTTTGTTGGATGCATTAAATTTGATTGATTCGATGCTTGAGGACAATCAAAGGCCCGCCGCAATCCGGATGAAGGTATCCGGCAAGTTGCTTGACGATATCGAAGAATTCGAGGTATGAAGCGTTCGCAGCAGTTCCCGTGATATATTCGGTGGTGCATCCTTAAACATGACTTTTATGTTTATGCCATTAGAAAACGGTCATCTTTTATCCGAAGGGGTTGGAAAAGGTATGTAGGATGCTGTGCAAGTGATGACTGTCACCTTTGCTCATGTCCTCTCGTTTATTTTCCTTGGGAGGAGGTGTTTTCCTGTCTACCTTGGACTAGTCAAGGCCAACCATCTCCTCCACTTGCTGCTACTAACAACAGCCTTTCGCGACTATTTAATTTGAAGTGAATTCAGTGTCCAGAGCTTTCAACTCCAGTATACTGGTAAAATGGTTAATTTACGCCTGTCCAATTGTAAGTTTATCGTGGTTTACTTTCTCGTGGGTGCTCTCTTTGTCCGCCACATCACAGTTTACTACTGAATATCTTTTGCTGACTTTCCACTACTCACACAGAATAACGCTCTTGTCGATACCAGTCAGGCCGATAACAAACGTCTTCGCGCAAATTTGGAACAACACATGAATCAACTTTTACCATCCGTTTATCGACTAGCCGATGCGCAACAAACTCAGTCGGCTGACAAAAAATCGGTCTACACACAATGTAACAGACTTCAGCAAGCGGTAGGCGATTTGGTCAGCCAATACAATCGAGAGGTAAGCAATGTATTCATACCATTTAGTAAGGCTGGTACCGTTCGAAAATAAATGTGATAACTTATAGCATTGTGTTTAGCACACCTAGAACATGGGTACTCAGATCATGAATCCTTCGCACAATCATACTTAGAATGACACGTGTATTCGGGATTCAAGTACAGATCGTTTGTGTGTAACGGAACAGCGGATCGAGGCTTAAACACCAGATAGAATCAAACTGGTTTCTCCTGCTCGCTCACTTCACTCCAACACCCATAGATGTGTGAAACTTTGTAACCGATTTCGTTCGAACGCATTCCATCACAATAGCTCCTCAATTTTATGATGGAACTACTTATGAGGGACTAATAAATGCTCACCCTGCCCCCGTCTGGGTTCAAGTTGTTTTCATTCAACCCGGCCAGCTTGTCCTCATACGCTCCACAAAGTGCAATGTGAGCTCGAGATGGCTCATTGGTTAAGATGCGAACCTACTGACCGGAAGGTCCGTGGTTCGAACCCAACTTCGGAATCTCTACTGCTCCTACCTAGGTTTGGACAACCTAGCAGTACCTGGGGTGGCATAGCAGCTAAGCACCGAAAGCGTGTTACGAACGATTGTCATTTTATTTATGTTAGTGCAATAATAGGCGGAAACAGAATTCTAAAGTCCATGGGAATTGTAACTAATTGTAGCTGTCAGGTTAGATGCTGTGACAACCTATGACATATGATCATGGTGTCTTGGCTTTTCATCCCTACCAGTTACGGCTGCATTGTTGTGTTAGTTTAGTGGCGAATGACAGAGCAAACATTACCGCACAATAACCACTACGCTTGTGCTGGTCATTGGTTTAATTGATTGGTTTAATTCATCGGCCATAAATCGCTCACCTGTTCCAGTTGTTCCTGTTTCGTTCATCCATTACAGGATGAATTGCAGGGGATAGCTATGTGTCAGTGGCAATTAGCGAACCACTTCTTTGACGATTCTATTCACCCGTGGAGTATAGCTTGGAAAATTTTATATTGAAGGAACCAGTAGATATGCCATTGGTTACGCGACTGGATACATATGTGATTAAATCTTTACGTTTACCACGCTTAAATAAATGGACAAATCTGTTAGACACTCGGCTCGACACAGACGTTATTCAGTCACGCGACCATTGGTATCTCTTCGTCAGAACTATCGGGTCCACCGCTTACCTGTCTTAACCCCGTTTAATTAGTCCAGTTTCGAAATTATTGGTCAGGTCATATTGTGCAGTGTAGCTGTAGCCAATAATTTATAGATAAGGGGATTACGGTGTGCATGTGCTACGTATATCCGAAAGAAATACGTTCATAATCGAACCTTGCCCGGTTAGTTAAACCGGAGATAGAACACACCCGGTAGGCTGTGACCCAACAACAGAAAGTCCAACTGAATAATCTATTATCCAGTTAGTTTAGACTCTAAAAGAGGTCCTACTCTTGTATTTCCTCACCTGTGCTTCTTGGGTCTGTTTTTTGTCCAGCCACTTTACTGTACTTTTTTAATTGCCTTTTTGTTGGCACTAGAGACCAATGTCCATGACCACCGTTTCCCGTCATATAAGTAGCCTAACTGCCCTACTTAATCAAAGACCACTTGTTTTTTTTCCCGAGCTACCCAGCACTTCGCAAGAAACTGTAAGCTTTAGTAGATGGTAAATCGGTATGTGTGGAACGTTACTAAGCAACTGGTGCTTATCTTGGCCGAAGAGTCATACAAATTCTTGACAAAACATGTCTAAACTGAAAAACATTAATGTATAATAGGATGTTGGTATCCCATATTGTTCAGTGCGCATCCACCAACGCTGTGGCCCGCTGCGCCACACAACTCACCGGTAGTAATTCGACTGGTGATGAGGCGGTTGCAATACTAGCGACCATCTTGACCACCAGACTGCAAAATCCTTCGTATGTGGTGGGTTACGTTCTCATCTATTTGGCGCCTCACTTGGCTAGGTCTTTGTGCATCATACTCATAGTCGGGGTAGACTGCTGTTCCAGAGAAGGATCCCGCTGTATACCATCGGTTGGTCACTTGTGGTTCGTCAGCATCATACTGACCTTGTTGATATTACGACACACTGCTGTCCCTCTGTGTCAGACGGACGTACTTGAAAGGTCTCATTTCCGCATCGATTAGAACATTGGAATCCCACCCCCATCATAATTCATTCTCTGTATACGTTTCTCACTAGATGGGGCTTTAATCCAAGATACAACTGGTGCGTCAGTTAGGTGAATCTCCCTCAAAAGGCTGGTTCCTCCAACGGAGTTACTTACCGTAGGACGCAGTGACATAAAAGATTTGATGTACACCTAAATTTCACACAAAGCCGGTGGGATAATAAACCAGAATGATTATCGGATAAACTCAACTTACGTAGTGGCATTTGCCATTTTTCATGTCGTCCCCGAACGTATGTGTGGTGCTCCCTGGCGCACCAAACAATTACATTCGTGACAGTGATATTTCGGATATTGGCCCATGATTGCTGCCGTTTTGGAACATATCAAAGCCACCCACCAATATATATACCCACAAACTCTGGCCTCAGGCATCCGATCGTCCCCAGCTAATTAATTGGGTAACATTTTTGTTTCAACTTTCTTCCAGCCTGGGAATCGTCCGGCAATGAACTCACACATGGAAGGACTACTGAGCATAACCTCAGGTTTAAAACAGCTCCTCGGCCGGATCGCAGTTGACCATGCTACGCAAACCTTGCTGAATAAGGACCAACCATTGATGGTACTCAGGGATGCTACTAAATTTGGTAACGAACAACGAATGGATGCAGCTGCCCAAAGCTTTCAGGTAGGGTGCTTTACCCTGTGTTGAAGAAGCAGGGGCGCGTCTTTTTTTACTGCCGTGCTTCTTTTCACTGTTTTCCGCGGCCAACAACCAACTATTCCGGTTGAATACCCCGAAGTTAAAACACTACTGTTTGATACCTTTCACCATGGCTAACGTTTCCGTAGTACTCTGATGCCGTGGTTTGTCCATCCAAGGTGCTTTTTCTCACCGTCCATGATTTAGTTAATGCAAATTCCGAGCATTCGTAACGTTTCCGAAGTACTCTGATGCCGTGGTTTGTCCATCACCGTCCGTGATTTAGTTAATGCAAATTCCGAGCATTCTTATTATCGATTCCACATGATCCACTTTGCTACCATGCTTGTCCCGTCGGTAAGCTGACCGCGTGCGCAATTCGCAATTTCTTATCCATTACAGGAACACTCCGCTGCAATGGTTGCAGCGGCCTACGAGGTTTGTGCCCTAACTACCAACGAAGAGGCTTCCAAATCCACTCAGCTGGCATGTACTCAACTCGAACAGCTCTGTCCACAGGTGGTTGGATCCGCGTACTTATTGTTTCGATACCCCCACTCAAGGGTATGTTTTTACTCCAACCGTCGCGCTGCAATTAATTTTAGCTTTCGCTCCCGGGATTTGACCCATTTTTGTAATGCGCTGTTAGACGCGTGTTAATGATAACTTTTATATGATCCCATCCGGCAACGTTATGCTTCCTTCCCTTTGCGTTTTACATCCATCTTATTCATCATTTATTTACTTTTGACCACCTATCCGCTACTAATGACAGGCGATTTAGTCACTGGCATTACACTTTCCCTGATATTTTCTACACAGTTTCTGGCACAACGCAACGCTCATTTTTTCGACCGTATACAGTCATTTGTGAATCCGATTATCCAGAAATTGTATACTTCTTTTTCTTTGTTTCTGTCTAATCGTACGCTTTCTATTTCAACAGCTGGTGGAGGCAAACTTTGACGCATTCTGTGAGGCCTATGAAAGCACCGCCAATCTTTTGTCCGCGTCAGTGAACGAAATGACCAGTGTTCACGATGTACTGGCTGTCACAGATGATCGCATAAGGACGGATTTCCGAAAGGCAACAGAGGCCCTGTCTGTACGTCAGTTTTTGGCTTCTTTACGTTCTTTTTTCTGTAGCCGTCGGCTGTTGACTGCCCGTGATAATTTTATTTTTTCCTGAAACGAGTGGTTCATGTCATATAATATTAGTTTTTCGGTCGAGATTGCATCCTGTAACTGAAGATAATCTGCTGAAGAGTTGGAGAGCGTTGTACAGCTGTTTTATCCTTGTTGACAGCCCTTCTCAGCATGCAACTTACAAACGTCCCAAGATATTGGAATCAGCAACCTCTTGGCTAGTAGTTGAAGACCAAACCCTTCAGCTACGAATGCCCTATCAGCAGTATGACTAACTCACACCCGGAATTTTCCGCCTATGTGTGAAATACTGCGTTGAGACTGTTATCGAACAACTCGCTCTTAGTGGATCTTCATCTCCATGCATTTCGTCGTATGATTTTTGTTACGTATTCAGTCGATTAATGCCTGAGTTTCCATTGACAATCGTATTAATTCTTAGGATCAAGATTAGTTCTAAGTTGTTGGCGTCACCTCTTCAGAACTTTCTTTTTTACATCAGTCTGGTGAATGATGTTTTTAGGCAGCGCGTTACGCCATATTGGCACTGTTGCCGCACTGCGATTGGCTTGCGAGACACCTCGAACCCTGTTCATCTAGACAATGAACGTCGTATAGAATGGTCGTTAGTTTGTTCGCTGAACTGGGCAATTTTATTGCCAGCGTTTCATCACCAATCAAGGTGACATCATCAGTGCGTTATTGGGAAGTGTAGTGGTGCGTAGCAATGGGTTGGTTGATGTACGTTCAGTAGTGTTGCGTGTGTGTCAATATACGTGCTGCTAGCCGGGGCTGATCTTCGATCACGGTTGGTTGTTCGGTTGCGTGGTTCCATTGGCTGCTCTGTTATCCTGTGTCCTGGTTCGTCGATGCCCATGCGACCTCTGAGCTTATCATCCGCGGCTCTCGTACTCTGGTCGATGCTAGAGTAACCGTTGTTCTTGCCCCTTCCGAGTTCCAGCTTGTGACCTTTATTAATCTGACTCCAAAGCGTTCCTTGGTTTTTTTTTGTGGATCCGATATTCGCTTCTTCTTGAGTATTCCTTTTGAGATGTTGATCCTTTGCACTTAGTGGTGCGTAAATTGGATCCAGCTCAATGCATCGGCTGATTGAGTCTGCCATGGAGTTCCATGCTTCCAGAAATTCCTTTTTGTGTCTCCGTGTGCCAAAATTTTTGCATTTTTCAGATTGAATTTGTGGTTTTCTTGGTCCTCATGTGTGTATACTAAGGATAGAAGGTCATGTCTCCTGACGGCCGCGTTGTGTTCCTTTATTGGTGTGCATAACTTCCTCCGGGTTTGTCCAACATAGAATTTGTCGCGGTTGATTTGGTATTTCACATTGTTCCTCTTGGTTTTGTCTCGGTTGTCCTTCGGTCTTGAGATTAGTTTCCTTAGAGTGACATTCGGTTTGTAGGTCACGATGGTTCAATAGGGCATTGAGAACTGTGTTTCCTCTTGAAAAATAACAATCATACCTGGTATGTTAGTTGGGCTTATTTGTCATTTCAAACGCTCCGTTGTATCCTCACTTTGACCATTGTTCCATCTGCTATTTCTTATAGCAACGAAGTGAAACAAAACTGCATCGGGCTTCCATTTCAATGGAACGGCGCTGCATGTACATATGTGAAGTCGTAATGCATGAGTTGGAGAACCACCGGAACAACCGTGAGTACGTGCGTAAGGTGACGGAGAGAGTAACGGTACTACGAGACGAGGTAAGTGAAGCCGTCTTTTTTATCCGCATTTGTTCAATCTTATGGTCAAATACACCAGTGCATCACAACTGTAGGGTAGATCGTTGTTTATTAGGGGTTGTGTGATGAACCGATTTTACTGCTGCAGTTGATGATTTGTTGTTGGGTGCTTCGGTATTTCTGGACTAAAAACTTTCCATATAACTTTACATAAACCGCTAGGAAAATGACAAACACCTATAGGATGCGGATGACAAAACCCCTTGTATTTTCATCCCCCTCAGTACACTCAAACATTCAGCGAGGTATCTCGCGATACGCTGAGCTATATGGCAGCCAAACAAACACCGGATGAAGCGCGTTTTCGTGAAGCCGCGAATAATCTTTGCACGGCGGTGCACGATGTACGACTTACTGTTCTCAGCGAAACCGGCCACTCGGCCGATATCGAGGCGCTTCAACCACAAAGGTCCACGAGTTCCGTAACGGATGAGGAGTTGGGTGGAGTGCCGCCGCCAGCTGATGGGACACCGCCTACAAGATCTAAGCCGTCCGAAATCAGCTCACCTGATCGACGTAGGTCTATGTCAGCTGTTTCAACCAGAGTAGTTATGTTTCACGGTCTCTGTCATAATGTTAAACGTTTTCATCTCTGTTTACACACCTGGATTGTTGTATACAAATATCAGCAAACCGGGTAATGGTGCGATGCAGATCCTTTGATAGTTGTGCTACAGGTGTTTGATGCACACGTGCATGTACTTCGAGACACTTTGACACTGACAAGTGTGGACAGTCACACCTTTCGGAACACTTGTAATTCTCGAAATTCTGGCTGGCAAGACTGGATGACCGTTCACCACAGGACTACTTGGTTCAAGTCTTCAAAAAAGACCTTCAGTTCTTTTATGTTCATCCATGCGTGGAAGCCGAGTTTAAAGTGGATAAATAATCGAAATAGTTATGTACAAGACGAGTAATCTGTCGGGTTATCAGAATAGGTGTCATGTGAAGCGTCGTTGAGCAAACTGCTCGCTGTTTGAGTACAATATCTATCGCATTTGTGTCATCGGGCTTTCGTTGTAAGTAGTCTACCCCCGTGATCAGTGTTTACTCTGTACGAGACCTTCCTTATGGGTTACTAAAGAAGCTAATCTGTTAAATTTGTGTGATGACTTTGTGTACGTGATATTATGTGACTTATTCCATGTTTGTATTGATACCCTGTCCCACCATGCATTCGCGGACTCAAATATTTACATTCTCGAAACAAATAACCCGGCTGTTCTCGTTGACGTGCTTGGATGTTCGAAGACAGTATAACTTCACTTTAAGTTGGTTGCTTGTGATGGACCTGGAGCCGTCGTAATTCCCATCAACTCTGATGGTTTCATTTAGTAACAGTTCTTATAAATTCTCATGTATTTTGAGTCAACGGCGCTGTCCAGCAGCTCCCAATCCAGCTCTATTTCTCACCCTAGGAACGTAATAATGAGCCTTTCTTTCCAGATGTAGTTGCGCTTTATACGCATATTCTGTTGAATTTCCAGGGTACGAAAGACTCCGAAGTTCGTCTACGTCACCGTAGAAGGACGGAGAGTCACAGTGTACGTTGTCAGATGACCGGACACGTAACTGAGAGTTGACTGGTTTGTAAAGGTCACTCGTACCGGCACCAATGCGCTCCATGAACGGAGTGTTTGTGCGAACATCTTTCACCCCTAACTGGTTGAATAAACAAGAATTCATCATTTTGTCTCACTTCACATACTTCCATATTTCCGAACGCGTGGTACTTAAGAAAGCAAATGAATCCGTTTACTGGTTCCCTAAATGAGTCGGATGTAAACCACAGCCCACCAGATGATCGTCGCTGCTTGCGAGTAGTGCACATGCAGTTTGCCAAACGGAATACTCCATCTAATTGGATACATCACTTACTCGTCGAATTTTCAATGCCTCTTCAAAGGTCTCTTCAGCGACTCCAGTCCTGAAGAGACGCTTCAGTCTATCTGCATACTGATCTGTTCAAAAAGAAATAAGTTACATGGGCTTTGTTGTGTCAAGTGGTCATTTAACATTGGATCACGTGGCGTGAACTGCGTGCTTGCGTGAGTGGCAATCTATTCCGTTGGGTATTCATAGTCGTGTCTGGAAGGCTGTGAGTTCGGACTCCTCTAGAGGGTCATGAACTGTATGCTGCTGATACTTATAAAAAGGAATGAAACAGCTGCGCAGCTCGTTTAGGTTCCCCCCACCATTTCCAGAGAATAACTCTCTTCTGAGGGAACACGATCAACCTAGCTGGGAAGAATTTTCTCCCGTTTAAAGCAAGGCACCTCTGTTTGCATGCACAATAAGGAGAAGCGTGATGGGCACAATTAGGTGATTTGGCGTAATTCTACCACCAGGAACCAACATTCTATAAGATGACTGTTGTTGCTCAAAGGCATGCTCTGTTTCGTCGTATCATTTCGGAGCAGAATGGAAACAAATTCTGTCTGGTCGCTTGCTTATGGTGCCGTGCAGTGGGAGCTTCCGCTCAAATGCTACCGCAAGATTCATTCCCGACGATATTCAAGATACCAAAGTGTCTTTCCTTACAGGTGGCGGAGTAGATGGAACCGTGGACTAGTAGTTCTATCCCCACGTGCACACCTTTAAATTGGCTGCTGCCCGCGTCCTGATTGCCACAAATAAAGACGTAAAATACTGAAACTACGGTGGATTGATGGGGGAAAACTTTGCCCACAATCCATTACCTACCTTCCTTTTAGGGCTCATCATTTAAGCGTGGTTCCAGAATTTCGTCTTCAGATGTTTCCCACTCTCCCTTCATTTGGCCAGGACTGTATGCAGTATCTTTTTTTCACAAGTTGTCTTTTGATAACGTTAACGCGTATCGCATAATCAAACCTCAGGCTTCAATGTTACTTAAATGGTTAATAATCTCTCCATTTTCTCCAACCCACATCGGATGCAGTAACTGATAACGAATTGGAAAAGACGCTTGAATCTGCTTTCGCATTTCTTCAGTGGGATGTACCTGAGCAGAGTACGACCCTTTCGGTGTATCGGTTCACTTCGTTGTGCGGTCTGTGGTGTTTTTTGTAATGCATGCTGCCTGCCTACAGTGCCTTTATTTGTGTGCACTCAACACACCCGCGGGTTCCGTCTTTATCTGTATACGGCTAAACCCGAAAAGAACACCAGCACCTGCACCCTTGTCTTGTATGCTGAGTCATTCTTGGGGCTAGAATCTAGGACCTTGTGCCAACAACTTGAGGCTCACCTTCCACTACCATCATATTAGGGGCATTTTTGCAGACAAACCCGTAGTTTGGGTTTTGATGTTATCGTCTTTTTCGCAAATAAATACTCACCACTTCTCCTCAGTTGGGTGCAGAGAGCTCTTAAACTGCGGACCTTCTCTTTTCCGCTTGATAGCCTGTCATTTTCGTGAGAGCAGGGTTAGCCAATCCTTTTTGAATTGTTCATTCATATTAGCATATCGTGGAAGACGTAGCTAACAATGATATTCGTGGATCATGACTTCCATTTTGAGTTAATTCGCAACGCCTTGTTGGCTTACCTCTGAGAACTTTTCTCTCAACCACAACACAGTTATGGCCCAGTTACTAAATCTAAACTATGGCACTATATTTAACTTTCTTTCAAACATGCTGGTTTTGTTGCGCGTGGTTTTACTTTTCTGAGTTGATTTCATGGGCACAGGACTCATTCATCTGCGCATGTTGTGTCGTATTTGGGATTGAACCCAGACCATGACTTGCATGGGACCCGCACATTGTCATAGATTCAAGTATTTCCTGGGCTCATGTTGTCCTCACTAGATTTGACTGCCTTCCCTTCCTGTGGCTTCAGTTTCATCTTGCGTTTTCAATCACTTTTACACTGGTAATTCAAACTTCAGCTTCTCGGAGACAATCAGGATCCAGTTCCGTTGATCAAACCGGTGGGACTACAGTTGCTCAAGAGAATCAGCTGTCCGAACGTGCTGAGCTGTTTGCCATGATGACTGGCCCGGAAAAAGAAACAATGGCCCAGGAGTTCGCGGGCTTTTTGGAAGAGAAAAAACGTTTCATGCGAGAGGTTGTCAAATGGGATGATTCAGCCAATGAGATTGTCGCTTTGGCCAAAAAGATGTGTGTTATAATCATGGACATGACAGACTTTACTCGTGGCAAAGGTCCTCTTAGTTCGACAATGGACGTGATTGAGGTACGTTATGGTTGTTCAGGATAGTCCCATATTCGCTCAGCGGCATCTGCTAGTCATTTCCATTTGTATACGGTCCTGGCTTATCCACCGTAATCAAATATTGCCACTCCCCAAGCCTGTATGTCGCGTGGTCGGAGTTAATTTCCAAGCTACAGTGCAAACAACTTGAAAGTGGCTGCACGTCGTCTCTTAAGCCTATAAGAAAGCTGTCAGTTGAACGGTGGGTTTATTACTGGAAGCAGTTCGACGGGCCGGCCACTAAAAGGCATTTCACTGGTGGTAGAAAACTTTGGGCTATTTTAATGGTGAGCCGGAGATAGCTCAGTGGTTAATGCGTTAGCTTACTAACCGAAAGGTCCGTGTTTCTAACCCAATCCTGGCATCTCAACTGTTGCTGTCTAGATTTGGGCAATCTGGCAGTATCTCGGTCCGCGTGCTTTCTTTTGACACAGCAGCTAGACACCGAAAGTGTTACATCTGGACGATTATCATCATATTCCTATCTTAGTAGTTACCTGCTGTAATAAATCCCCCTGGAAAATACCGTTCTTCACGCTAAAAATACAAAGTATCCGAGGTGAAACAGTATAACACCCCTTCAATAATGACTTCAAAGCCAGCAAATAATTCAGTGGCATTTTTCAAAGGAGGAAGGCACCGAGGGGCAATAGAGTGGAACTGAAGAGAAAATGGTGTTATGCGACATTGGAGAGATGTTCACTTTTGCGGGTATTTGTGGTAAATGGATCCGGTTGTTCCGTTTATGTAATTCTGGATTCGAGTTGTCATACGCAAACAATCTAGGCAATAGTCACTACAAACCGTCATTGTATCATTATGGGAAGCACCGTCCTTCTGCGCCTTTGCTTACCTCACTGAATCTGTGGTCAAACCCGGACCGCATAAACCCGTTTACCACTAAAAAGTACGCCTCTTTATTTGCCCGCAGTCATTTTTGGCCTGCTACTTCGGCTTGATGGCAAAATTTCCTCAAACTAGGCCTTGACAAGATATGCACTACTGCACTGTGCCTCACTGAAACAGGAGACAGTCAAGAACAGTGTTGGCTAGGTTTCCTATGAAGAAGAACGTTGGTAGCTCAGATAGAGTAAATGGTTGTTGGTTTGTTCGCTGAGCAGGGTAGTTTGGTTGCCAACGTTTCACCACCAATCGAGGTGACACCATCAGTTCACTTATACCACCTCGATTGGTGATCGAATCGTGAGCAGGGTGGTTGCTTGCCAACCACCACCAATCGAGGTGACACCATCAGTTCACTTATACCACCTCGATTGGTGATCGAATCGTCCAGTTCAGTGAACAAACCAACGACCAGCTGGCCAAGTGTGTAGTGCATTGGCAACACCTACTGCCATGATCCGTCTTCCAAAAGCCTCTCAAGATATACGGTTATAGAAAGAGGCGGGTCGGTGTACTTCCGAATTGGAAGAAAAATACTTTTGCATTTCAAAAGTCGCACCCAGGAGGCTTTTAATGTAGTCAACACAGGTCTTACCGAATTATGAAATAGACTCTACATTTCCCATCCTAAGGATCTCAAGCCTCTTTTTGGAGCAAACTTTAACTTGACACTTTGAGTTGATATCAATCCACCAATTTTTATTCTTTTATGTGTGTTTGCTAATCCAAAACGAAGAGAGAGGTATCAGGTCCCCTGTTCGGATGGGTAGCCCATCGAGTCTCCTTTGACTGGGGACGTTGGTGTGTGCTGTCCATGGGGACAGTTTCCGTTTGAAGAGACCGCTTTTATTGTTATTGCCTTATTGAATATGCCACTATCTTTTGTTTCGTCTGTTCTACATTTACTGTCCCTGTGATTCATTTGAAATGGTGAGTTGGTGTTATTCCTAGGACGCTGAGCTGAAATTTGAAGGATCACTGCTTTAAGGCCGGATCATATACAAACGCGCCCCTTTTGCTTAAGTCCTCAGTTCCAAAGCTCGCCTCACGTGATCCCGTGCTAAACAGCTCCTCGAGTGACAGCTTCTCAGATGGAAGAGCCAGGCTAGCTATGGGATTTTCTCTCTTTGAATAGATTACTAATAGTTTGCGGGTAGCGACATTTTCAGGTTTTACTTAATATTTTCGATACATAAGTGATGTCTGTCTATCGGCGAAATATACTCATTTGCATACTGGTTTGGTTTCAACGGGAGACTCACCTGGAACCCACCTGAGAAACGGAGAAGCCCCATGCAGCTATTTAGGATCGGTGGCAACGCTCATTTCAAAAATTTCTGAGTTCATTCGATACCGCTAACCTCTACTTAGTAGAGGTAGTTCATGCCATCCTCATTCCTCATCTAATGGGTTGCATGTTTCTTCTGCCTCCATTCAGATATTTGACTTCGAATCCTCAGATTTTTTCTCATTTCTCATCTCCTTTTAGTCCGCTCGAAAAGTTTCCGATTTGGGAAAACGGCTAGATCAACTATGTCGTCATATTGCCGACATGTGTCCGAATTCTGCTAGCCGCCGGGACTTACTGGCTTATTTGCAACGAATCACCCTTCACTGTCACCAGCTGAGCATCACCAGTCGGGTTAAAGCGGGCGTTCAAGCTGGCCGTGCAGAAGTGGTATGTTTTTGTTTCTGTTACATGTGTCATCATGTTATCAGGTTAGCCATAATAGACTACAGTTTGTTTCCTTATTCAATGATTCGGATCAGCGGCTGTTGTAGAATGGTTGCACTCCGATTCTTTTCACACCTCATTTATGTTCCAAAGTGTCCAAATCCTACATATGGTTCCACAATCCAGATGACCCGTTGCTTGTCATTACTGCTCTGACTTTCCTCATCAAGCTATCAGACGAGCCCTTCAGGCATGTATAGTATCGTGTTAGGTTCGGGTCAGCCGATCATTTATTTCTCACGCTTCACACTGGGTTATCGCCATAAGCCCGAATGTCCTTGTACACTTAGTTCTGTGAGAATATCCGTTTGTCGAAACGTTTGCTATCCACTGTTCTTCCCACCGTCTCTATTATGATGTCCAAGGTTCTCCTACAGAGAGAATGCTGTGCATGCGTACGTCAGCTGTACAGAAACGGCTTTCTTTTCATTAAAACTGCACCAGATAGACTTACTGCTGTTCCAGACATACTTTTTCGACTGGAGGTATGATTTACCAGGCCTTGATATCCCGGCTAGTTGCACGATGCGACTGCTAACTGCCATTTCGGTTTATTTTGAGAACTGCCCCACACTCGTGGCAACCACTTTTTTCCATTCGACTCGGCTTCACCTTTCCGTACTTTCAATGAGGTCATTTAATACAATCGAACCGAACGGAGTTGTATCCTTTCTTGTGAGCTGCAATGTGAGTGAGCAACTATGTTTCTCATCCGAGTGCAGTGGATTCATATTGCGATTTTCAAGAGTACTTTTTTTTAATGTTTTTCTTAACAAATCGACGTCGATCTATTCCTCCAGTGCGCCGTCACCTCGTATCGTTTTCGTAGTCACACTACTTGTGTGTGTGTCAGTAGAACATTCCGATGCTCATAAACAGCCTCGTCTGTTGCCTCTGACTGCCTTAAATGAAGACTTCTTTGCTTTATTGACCTTTTGAAGTCTCCTAATAGTCCTACCGTAAGTGCCTGCCTGGATGCCCTAAGCGATATAAGTTAACTACCGTATAGAACTTTCTTTTGTGTGCAAGACCGCCGTAGAATTCTGCTACTGCAATTCGTGTGCGGCGCAAATACTACCATATCTTTTGTCGCTGTGGCTTATGAAATTGGCTTCTCTGCCATTATGTCTTCTGCTAACCGTCTAACCGTTTTCTACTTCCACGATAACCCACTTATGCGCACTCTTCCAGGATTTAAGTTTAACCTGCATTTATTTGTTTTAACAATGCCAATTAACCTTGTGTTAACGCTCACCTAACTCCTGATTTGTGGTTTATCTGTAACCCTCAGGATGCCACGGCTCTTTGCCTGTCGTCCTTTCCTACATGTCCGCTTTCCTCATTCCTTCTCATGGCCTACCAGGATTTACAGCTGCCATCTTTGTCTAGTTGCCAAAGCTGTTTCTCGTGCTATTTTGATGCAACACTACTTATAAGTCTCTAGAAACTCTTCGATAGCCCACTACCGGTTTCGCCCTTCTTTTGTCTCATCAAATAGTAGCAATCCCAGAGTTTCCATCAATCTTATATAGGAAAAAACAATAGACTTATATGGGATTCGGCTCGCTACCAACTTAAATTGCAAATGAGTTTATTCTTCAAAAACTTGCCTTTGGAGCCACCACATTCACCACCTCAAGTATTTCGGTAATATGATGGAGCTAACAATGTATATTCCAAGGTCAGGCTTGACTGTTACGTACATTCTGCTTAAGGGGAAACTGAACGCGGTATAGCGTGTTAGTATTTTTCCTATTATTACTGGCACCAACGAGGTGCCTCAACTGCGAAACTCAGCGATAAATGAGCCTCAACTATAACTGAACTGCCTAGAGGGCATAACTGAAACACCATGTAGACATCCTATACTCAATTCCTTCGTCTGTTTGAGACATCCTGTCAACCTTAGAACACTGTTACTATAGTCATGTTCAACTCAAACTTCCCTCTACTGATGCTTCAGTGTTTAGCCTTGTACAGGCACAACCTATCTTGATAATGTATTTAGATCTTAGCTTGATCGGAACTAGTCTCCTTTGTGGAGGTCATCTGGGAGTTTAATCTTGAGCAGCTGCAGTTCTTCCATGTACTTCCTGATTCGATCTTTATGGATTTACTCGACACTTAGATACCTTCCTCACCTATTTGCATTCGAGTGATGTTCCGATATGCACTGTTCATTTTCTTATCCGAATCCGTTTTTTTTTGGGAGACTGTCGGTCTTACCACTCCTTTGGGAATCGTAGCTTCTACACAAATGCACAACAGCTCTCATCTACTTCTATTCGCTCCGTAGCTTTCCCGTTCTTTCCTTTGATTGCTATTCATTCATTAGGTTGAGAACTCTACGGCGCTCGTGCAAGCTGCGCGCAATCTCATGACGGCTGTCATTCTGACCATCAAGCAAAGCTACCTTGCTTCCACCAAGTATCTGGGACCAGACAAAAAGCCCATAATCCACTGGCGAATGCGCGCCCCGCCAAAGAAGCAGCTAGTTCCATCTCCCACAGTGAGTCCAGAGCACGGAACTGTGGATAGTAGTACCTCTGACAGTCATTCTGCAAATCTCAGCGAACTGTCACAATTCGATCATATTCCCACATCAAACCCGCCCAATCTAATGTGATGGATTGCCGCAAATCGCAAAACCAGGACTAATTGGAGTTTCTATTACTCCTACTTCATTGGTTAAGCATATCATCTATTCATTCATTCCAATATATTGTTTTTTTAATCTTTTTAATTATTTTCCGAGTTTGCGTAATGCTTTCTTAGATTTATTCACTTTTGGCTTTTGATTTTTTTTACTATAACATTCCGTCGCACTTTAGCGTCGCTGTGCTTGATTTGCTCCACCCCATAGCTTTTTGTACTTCCTTACGCACACGAATAAATCCCTTCTACCATCTTTTTTGGTGCTTTCGGGTCCTCATGGGTCAGGCAAACAACCTATGGCCTTATCTGTGACTCACTTTGACCTACTAGACAGCTGACCTAGGACGAATCACGTTGATTTAGTTTATTCACTGATTGGTCACTGTACTTGCCATCTGTTCTGGGTACTTCCGGTTTTATCCGTCCAATCACAGATCACCTGTGACTGATGTATAAAAATAGTCAGCATCACAAACCTAGAGGACGAAGGAAGACCTATTATTGAGATGAATGGAACAGGCAGTGGGAAACGAGGTGAACCATCGAGAAAAACCAAACGCTCAAGGTCTTCTCTCCCGAAACCTGACCAGACTTCGTGTTTTCGTACATTTGGAGACATACATTTTACGGGACTGGAAGAACCAGTCAAGGTGAATGATTATACTCGTACAGATTCCAGTATATCTCTGATCAACCTTCTGGATGATTTCCTTAGATTTACGATGTACTGTGTCTTTTGTTCGTGCTTTTTTTAAACGTTCAGTACAGGATGGGTTGTTTCGCCTTTGCGGACCTTTACCTGAAAGAATATTTTCCCAGTTCGTCGTCACGAAATTAAGTCTGGTATTCTTAGAACGTATAACTACCTTACATGTGGGATATTGTTTCTGACAAAGTTACGCCGAGGGTTCAGTGGGTTTTGAGTGTGTTTTTTTAATATTTTTTTGCCTTCGACTACTATTTTTCATCAAAAATTGAAGATACCAACCTAGGCTACTCTCCAGAAAGGGTGCTATGCAAACATTGGTCTGTACCCAGTGGTTGGTTGCTCGACCGATTGATTATCTAAGTTATATTTAATTGTGCTCCCTCTGGATCCGATTGCTGAAGAACCACTGCAACTAAGCAGTCATTCATAACTTACATCCGGAGACTTAGTGATTCTGCGCTGAAGTAAGACCATCTGAGATGCCTTATTATTTGTTTTTTCCCAACGCAGCTAGCAGTGACGTGAGAATAATGTGATATTGCTGTTTGAAGACATGATGGTTGCCCTAGTTCGTATATTTCTTTGAAAACGTTGTCCGATTGTCCACAAGGCTTAGGAGTTCGTGGCCAAATTCGGTTCGGATAGTGTTGAAAGAATCGAGCGCCATGTGGTGTATAATATGGATTGTAGAAATCCTTGAAAGAAAGAATGCCCGCGGCAAACGAAACGTCAGATTATAGCATATTCCACTACGCTGTTTTTGACTTTGAAAATTTCACCATAAAAAGACTGCAACGTTTTCACGTTAAACGGCTGTATCCCTACCTACAATGCGCATACGAACGCATCTTGTTGCAGACATTTCACTTACGGCTGCCTCAAACCAACTTCGAATCTGTCAGATTAATGGTTCTATCAGCTAGGGGAGTATGCCAAAATATCATGGGGAAAATGGAGACCATAGGTTCACAGACGCATGCATCCGCAGTATTGACTGTAAACACAATTCGCCTTATGTTTACAGTACACAACTTCATTTTAATTGTCGTGAATGAGTTTCCATCGTATGGGGTCGTTTTAGACACACTACCTCGACGTGGGCATCTGAGTACCCCGGTTACATAAGTTGGAAAACCTAGAAGAGCTTGTAACCACCATATTGGTCTAAATATATCAACAGCCTTTAGGTGCATTTTAGTCCACTGGACTGGTCGGATTTGTCAGAAATGTGTCGAATGTGCTTTATCATATCGCGAGACCTTTTTAGCCATAGGAAACACGTCTTGCGTTGTCAAAGTCCATTCAACTTTGGAAAGTAGACCGTCCTCTGCAGAAGAAGCTCCATCCTAGAGGAGTCACTCTTGCTTAGGATACTGTTTTGTTTTAACGGAATTTGTCTGCAGTCTAATTTCTTGCCTAGGAAACCTCCAAAGCCAAAGAAAATCTCTTTCAGCTGTGGCACCCTTCCGTTGCCTAGCTGCCATGCCACCCGAAAGAAGCACGAGGGCTAGAATACCGGCAGGTTGCCCAAGCAGTCGAGAGGCAGAGGTCGGGTTCGAACCGCGAACCTTCCAATCAGTAAATTCGCGCTCTAGCCACTTGAGCCATCTCGACCCAAAGCCAAAGGAGAGATTTTGGATCTGAATAACAGGAAATAAGTTTGTGCTATTGATCCGGACCAACTTTTTTCCAGTTCAACACATGATGTCACAAACACTGCTTCAATACTGCCCCTCCGCTTTAGAAATCGCTTGGCTCGTCGGTAGTCCTTACCACAACTTGCTAGAACATGCCACAGTTGTTGCTAACGTATGTGAAGCACAGGACGGAGTGGCGCTCGATAATTGCCACTGTTTTCGTTGCAAGTTAGAGGGTGCTTATCCTTAACTTCCAGCTTGGTGAGACAAAAGTTCACCGTTCGTTATACCATAGGCTATAGAAATTGAGGACCACTATAATTGAGAGAATGTTTTATTCAAGGATATTCAAAAGTAGTGGATTTCCAACGTTTCTATTCCAAATGGAGTTGACAGTCACATGATTGTTCGCAGCACTCGGCTACAAGTGAATTTTCAGTAGCCTTTTGATAGCCGAAAGCTTGTGAAACAACTGCGAGAATTTTCGAGAAATACACTCATTTGCAAATCAATCTGGTTTTCACGAGAGACTCAACTGAATCTCTCGTTTATGATATTCTACAACTGAATGTGCTGCACACAGACCGCCTCATGTTTCAGTTGGAACGATATTCGAGATATCGCAGTATATTTTCATAAAGGAAACTACTCACGAGGTTGCTGTCGAAGAGCTTTCAGCAACCTTGTGATTAGTTTCCTTCATGAATACTGCAAGGTTTCTTTCGATCCAGGTGGAATACCCTCGTTCAGAAGACGATGATGTTTCTTAAAGAGACATTGCGCACCGAAGTTAGTGCGTGATTTATCCGTTTTCAACCTTTTGTATGATCATCTCGCCGATCTTAATTAACTAATAACAGCCACATCGTAAATGTAGTTTTTAAGCAAAATCTTTGACTAGTTTTCTGTCTGTTTTATCAGACTGTCGAAGAGTTTCAGCAACCTTGTGATTAGTTTCCTTCATGAATACTGCAAGGTTTCTTTCGATCCAGGTGGAATACCCTCGTTCAGAAGACGATGATGTTTCTTAAAGAGACATTGCGCACCGAAGTTAGTGCGTGATTTATCCGTTTTCAACCTTTTGTATGATCATCTCGCCGATCTTAATTAACTAATAACAGCCACATCGTAAATGTAGTTTTTAAGCAAAATATTTGACTAGTTTTCTGTCTGTTTTATCAGACAGGCTTTCAGAACATTTTTTCAGCACACCCGACAAGTAAACCATTCCCAGCGGGATCCTTGTGTTTAGGACTAGCTGAACCATAAGGCGCGGAACTGAATAATCAACAAGTTTCACTGGAGGGGCTGGATAGTAAGACATAACTGCAGCTCAGGCGTTTTAGTTTCAGCGCACCAACGAGCTTTCATTCCGGATTCAGCATAAAACAGCTTCCGCCTCATCAAAACCTGCTTTCTTCTAATGTCCACAAAGGCCCACCAATTTTTTTGTGATCCACTGCGCAGACGTAACACACTACTCATCAGGTTGTTGAAAACTCCGTGACAATACATGTACTGCTTGAGCCAGAATTTTTGGCAGAATTGCTTGCTAACATCTAGGTACGTTATGTTATCAGGTCGTAAGTAACAAGCCATTGGCCGCATAACTCAGTCCTTTGTCTTCGATCTTATGTGGTCACAAATAAATAAAAGACACAACGCCCGGTCTGAAATATCCTACACCAAATGAATCTCTATCCGATCTAAAGAAAGAACACCACGTCATGTGCAGAATGCTGAAATGAATTTCACAATTTGCGCGAAAAGTAACTACCACAATGCAAGAATATCACCTAAAAACTTATAACACCGTGAACACATAGGAATATTACAGAGGTCATAAAATGTTGTTAGAAAATTCTCCCACAGTACAAGTACAGTAGCCCCTTAACGGGGAAAATACTCGTCAAGACTACACCGATTTTTTCCGTGACGATTTTCACTTGCGAGCAACAACTCCGAGCTGAAAACGGGACACCCATATGGCAGGTTTACTTTAAAAGAGAAACTTCACAAAAGGAATACGTGTCAGCGACTAAGACTTACTGTCGGTTGTCACACTAGAGCGGCTGATCTCGTAAGCACCTCTGACGCATCATCTTATATTTGCAGGTCTGGTCGTTAATAAAATCGAGAATATGAGGGCGATACGTTTCGATGGATCACGCCAAATGGCAATATGAAGTGAGGACTACAAATCTGGAAGATAGGCTGAAGCAACATGTTAACTCGATATTTATCGAATTCCTAACTAATATCATCGCTTTTGGCTGTTCCACTCACTGGAATATGCTTTCATGATAACTTTACGGCTTCATGGCTCCTACTTGAGTTTTACTAGCTGGTACAAACACTACTGGTCAGGATAGTCTGGATCATAGGGTTGAATCATCTTTATGCTTAGCTAGAGTGCCTCAGTCTTGTGTATGCAACAGTACAGAGTATCTGACGCTTATGCATCGACCAAGTGATAAAATCTTCGCAGTACTAACATAAGTTCCACCTAACATTTCAAGCCGGTGAATAAATTTTTGCCATTTTATCTTATGCAATCCTTTCATGGGGCGACAGTCGGGTACCCCCACTGGTTTATTCGGGGGAGGGCTCTCTGACTACTTCCACACTCCGTGGACTTTTATCTCCCATATTTTTGAACGCTATTTGAATTAGCTACCAGCCGACGGCAACTTTCGGAAGTTGTTTTCGCAAGCGGTGTACAATTTGACTTCGCACAATATGCGGGTAGTGTGCATTGACTTGGTGCAGTCGAAATTCGTGTCTCTCAACAGGCCTGCGAAGGTAACCTCTTGGGCATCAACTGCATCTCCGCACAATATGCCTGCAAAGGTAACCTCTTGGGCATCAACTGCATCTCGCCTAGACTTTGAGCATA